TCAAAATATACTGTGCTTTTTTCAAAGATCTTCAACATTAAATAATTGTAACTTTTTCCCTTCCTTCCTTCCTTCCTTCCTTCCTTCCTTCCTTCCTTCCTTCCTTCCTTCCTTCCTTCCTTCCTTCCTTCCTTCGTCTGTTAACCTTTTTCAGGAAGAAAAAAAATATTGTGGCATACTTAAGACTAATAAAGTTATTGAAGCAGGATCATCTGTGGCTATACCCCACTAAAACATATGAATCAAACCATATAGCCCTAGGTAATCGAAGTTACAGTTTGTTGATATTTTACAAAGAACATAGACTTTTTTTGTTAATACAAAAATGTAAAATGTAGAATTGTGCAGCGATAAACAACCAAACAGAAGGCATATGGGCTGAAAAATGGAAAATAGCAATATTTGGCTTTAAAATATGTATATTGCTATCTTAAAAGGTAGAGAAACTACCCTTTACTGCCATTCACTGCAAAGATTCCAGAACAGTGCATAAAACTATGCATAAAATTGTTCTTAATCTCTAAGGTACTTAACTGTAAACCTATTGTTTCTATTTGGCTCACAATGAAGAATGCTTTATGATGGTTAGTTATGCTGTTGACTCTGAAGAGAACAACTATCACATGGAAAAGAACCCATGCATGCACATGCATGCTTATCTTTATCAAAATCAAACACAACCTTTCAAAATTAGATCTTAGACAAATGAGAGAAGAAGAGGAAAGGGAGCTGTTTAAATCTACAATCCTCATCTCCCGACTCTCTGCTTCCTACTATTAGTAAAATCACAAACTCTGTATTCATATGACTTGGAAACAATATTTAGGAAGAATATTCTTCAGTAAAACAGATCACAATGCATAAGTGTTCAGTCAATTGATGAAACTATACTGAATGACTGTAAATTACCAGCATTCAGATGTAATTGTTCATATAGGAATAGTATATGAATGAAATGCTTCTGACAGTTGGACAGTTTTCTACAATCTTGTTCCTTAATTCATAAAAGCACTAACAAGAAGACCATGCACCAAAATTGTGGCTTCCTCAAATTACATTCAGCGTCTCTAGGACAGATCCTATTGACCTTCTCAAAGATTCCATTCAATTAAATTCTTGGTTGAAAGTACCCTTTCAATTTTATCCTCCTGTCTTCTAAGTTTGCTTTGTGTAAAGAATAACATGCTAGCAAGAGAAAATGAAGCCACAATCTTAGGCACTAGATGAATAAGATGTACAAAATGATTGACATGGGCTAGACTGGCTGGCTCTCAGAATCCACTTCCTTTGATAACAAAACATTATTATCTTCTACTGGAGACAAGACACTGGTTTATATAAACTGTTGATAAGAACCAAACTAGCATTCTTCTGTCCTCTTATTTGGTTTTGAGTTTCACTAGATGTTTAGTGTCTCTTATCCCATTGACTCTAGGCTATTAAAACATCACACTTAGAAGACTCCTAAATTTAAGATTAGTAGATTTAAACACTGTAACTGGAATACAACATTGATGTAATGACCTCAGAATCAGCCATCAAGGTAAAGGCATTTCAGAATTGTATGGGCATTTGTGTAGCAGAGTTGTGCAAATAATATTGTAAAATTTAGTACTGTAACAAAAAGTAGTGTTTCTAATAAAGTTGTATTCTAATTAAGAGTTCCAAAGAATTGTTTCTTGACCTTATATTCACATGCTTGTTTTTCAAAGGTATATTTTATACAGTGGCAGGAGGCAGCAAGCTCTCCCTGGCTGATTTCAGAACTAGCTTGTTAACTACAGTGGGGGGGGGGGGAGTATTTTATCAGATACCAATTGTACAAGTTCTCCCACTTAAAAAAATGAGAAAGGCCTGTAATTGACATCGTAGGAAGACCTCAACTATGAGAGACAACATGAGAAAACACATCCAGAAAATCACATTGTCTGATTGTCTGATTTTTATCAAATTTATTTGCAAATTATGGTGGAAAATGAGTATTTGGTCACTTACAAACAAGTAAGATTTCTAGGTCTCACAGACAGGCTCCTCTGCCTTCCACTCATTACATGTAGTAATGGCTCCTATTTGGAATACAACATTGTATTGTGGCTCCTATTTGAATAAAGAACACCTGTCCACAACCTCAAGCAGTCACACTCCAAAGTCCACTATGGTGAAGGCCAAAGAGCTGTTGAAGGACACCAGAAACAGAATTGTCGCTCTGCACCAGACTGGGAAGACTGAATCTGCAATAGGCAAACAGCTTGGTGTGAAGAAATCAACTTGGGAGCAATAATTAGAAAATGGAAGAGATACAAGACCACTGATAATCTCCCTCAATCTGGGGCTCCATGCAAGATCTCACCCTGTAGAGTCACAAGGATCACAAGAACAGTGAGCAAAAATTCCAGAACCACATGGGAGAACCTAGTGAATGACCTGCAGAAAGCTGGGACCAATGTAACAAAGGTTATCATGAGGGACTCAGATCCTGCAGTGCCAGACATGTCCCCCTGCTTAAGCCAGTACATGTCCGGGGCCGACTGAAGTTTGCTAGAGAGCATTTGGATGATCCAGAAAAGAATTGGGAGAATGTCATATAGTTGCATGAAACCAAAGTAGAACTGTGTGGCAGAACACAACTCGTCGTGTTTGGAGGAGAAAGTACGCTGAGTTGCACCCAAAGAACACCATCCCTACTGTGAAGAATGGGGGTGGCAACATCATGCTTTGGGGATGTTTCTTTCCAAAGGACCAGGGTGACTGATCCGTATACATGAAAGAATTAATGGGGCCATGTATTGTGAGATTTTGAGTGCAAACCTCCTTCCATCAGCAAGGGCACTGAAGATGAAACATGGTTGTGTCTTTCAGCATGACAATGATACCAAGCACGCCGCCAGGGCAACGAAGGAGTGGCTTCGTAAGAAGCATTTCAAGATGCTGGAGTGGCCTAGCTAGTCTCCAGATCTCAATCCTATAGAAACCTTTGTGGGGAGTTCAAAGTCTGTGTTGCCCAGCAACAGCCCCAAAACATCACTGCTCTTGAGGAGATCTGCATGTAGGAATGGGCCAACAGACCAGCAACAGTGTGTGCCAACCTTGTGAGGACTTACAGAAAACGTTTGACCTCTGTCATTGCCAATAAAGGATATACAACAAAGTATTGAGATGAACTTTTGTTATGAACCAAATACTTATTTTCCACCATAATTTGGAAATAAATTTGTTAAAAATCAGACAATGTGGTTTTCTGGATGTGTTTTCTCATGTTGCCTCTCATAGTTGAAGTCTACCTCTGATGTCAATTACAGGCCTCTCTTATCTTTTTAAGTGGGAGAACTTGTACAATTGGTATCTGGACTAAATACTTTTCCCCCCACTGTACAAACTTTCACAGTGAACGGTCGGTATGGGGGCATGCTCTTGAGAGTTCTCAATAAGCACAAACTTTTGGTTCCTTCCTTCTATATATGAACAATAATTAATTAATCATTAATCATTCTCACTGGCATCCTGTCAGTTCCATTCTGCATTTCTGTAGGGTCCATTTGTTTGAGATAGCCTCTGCCTCAGAATTGCAAGCTTCAGAGAAGCCACAGTCTTTCAGTCTCCACAATAATGATTTAATCAGAGTTGGACAGTCTTATCTTAAATTACAGTTGTATGTAAATATTAAAAAAATAACCCACTGATGCCTCAATTAATGTAATTTTATTGGTATCTATTTTTATTTTGAAATTTACCAGTAGCTACTGTATTTCCCGCCCTTGGCTTATACTTGAGTCAAAATGTTTTCCCAGGTTTTTTGTGTGGTGAAATTAGGTGCCTAGGCTTATATTCGGGTCGGCTTATACTCGCATATATACAGTGTGTAAATTTTGATTACTCTATCTTAAGTTAAGAATGTTTCCTAAGAAAATTCTATGCAGACAAAGCTCTCTCTGATTTCCTGGCCTACAGAATGTGTATGTTTTAGAATTTTATTTACAGTAGTATTTTTCAGCCAGGGATGAATTTATAAGAAAATCATATTCTATTCTTAACATGACAAAGTACCATTACTTAGACTATTGCAAATTTAAGAAATGCCCCTGCCACAGAAGGTAATTCTAAATCTCAGCACAATGACTAAGGTGAATTTTGATCAGTAATTCAAGGAATTTCATCTTCTTTAAAAATATAATTCATGCATGCATAAGACTATATATTCTACAGGGGCTGGGGGTGTAGCACAGCTGGTAAATCATCAGCAATTATAAGATCTATCAACCAAAAGGTTGCAAGTTTGAAGCCCCGTGTTGGCGTGAGTGGCCAACTGTTAGCCCTAGCTCATTTCAAAAACAGTTTTACATCACGAGAAACATAAGCTTATACTTAAATTTATCATGTATCAAAAACTTATAATAATTGTTCTTTGCAGAACTCATACTACTTAACAATAAATGACATTATGGAAGATCTAATTCTGAGAGCTTAAAGAATATTTATGTTGTATTCAGACTACCTAATTTCTCCAAATCTATGAATCCCATATAATGCTATTTTTTTCCTGTGGATGGTAGAAACATGCCCACAACATCGGAGAAATTAGGTACTGCTAAAAAAGCGGGGAGGTCTTTTATGACGGCATAAAGAAGGAAGATCAGATAATGCTGGGCGACCAAAAGGAAGGAGGAAGTCCTGATGGATCTTTGTCATAGAGGATGAAGCAACAGCATCCCCTGGACTCAAGCCCAACCTTCCATGGCACTTCCTGTTCTGTTCTGTCTGTCTGTGTATTGTCTTTACAAAGTGGCATTGAATGTTTGTTGCGTATGTGTACTGTGATCCACCCTGAGTCACCTTTGGGGTGAGAAAGGTGGAATATAAATAAAGTATTATGATTATGATTATGATTATGATTATTTTAGTGGTTAACAACAATCCATGAACCCTTAGTTCAAAGTTAACATGAACAGGTTTTTTTTTTGTAACATATTGCATAATACATGTAGTTTCATTGCAATACTTACCACCCATGTTATTGTTAGTTCTCGATTACTGCCACCTCCTCCTCCAACTTCAGAAGGAGCCACATTAGGAGCTAAATAACAGAAAAAGAAAAAAATTGCTTCCAGGAAATAAAGAAACTGTTATTTAATTTTGCATTTTATAGACAACGCAAGCAAGCCCAAAAGATCCACAGAATTATAATAATGATAGCCTGTAGTAGCTTAAAAAAATCTCAGGGCTTGCCAAAGATGAAGTGTAAACTGCTGCCAGGGACAAATGCCAATTTCCCTTAATTATAACCTAGGTTTGGCTGAAGTGAATCATCTTTCTTGATTACATTAACTGCATTCCTTTTTATTTCTATTTATTGATAGACATTCAGAATATTCTTACATCACGAGAAACATAAGCTTATACTTAAATTTATCATGTATCAAAAACTTATAATAATTGTTCTTTGCAGAACTCATACCACTTAACAATAAATGACATTATGGAAGATCTAATTCTGAGAGCTTAAAGAATATTTATGTTATATTCAGACTACCTAATTTCTCCAAATCTATGAATCCTYTATAATGCTAACATGTTTTTTTTTCTGAGGATGGTAGAAACATGCCCACAACATCGGATATCCAGAATTTGGGTCTGAAGCAAACCAATTTATTACTTCATTTATAATTGGCCCCATTAACTGGTCTGTTATTACTAACCTATCCAAAGAGCGATCAGAAATCCATTAAATTAACCACTGTTAGATTGTTCTTTGGGATTACAGATATATATATATATATATATAATATATATATATATATATATATATACACACACACACACACACATACATACATACATACATACATATATACAGGTCCTGAGACCATTTTTTCCTTTTRTTTTCTTGTGCAGTCTCATCACCAAATCTAGTTACTCTGCTGTCAAAAACTTCCTCTCTCCTTTAAGATTCTTCTTCAACACTATTTTTAAACTACACCAGCAGCTTGACTTTAGTTATCACTCTGATGAGTTTCAGGTGGGCCCAGAAATGCTCATTTTAGTATATGCATTCTACAGGATTCTACAACACTTTATAGCAGAGTTTCTCAAACTGTGCTCCTCCAGGTGCTTTGGGTTTCAGCTGCCAGAAATTCCAGCCAGCTTACCAGCTGTTAGGAATTGTCAGAGCTGAAGTCCAAAACATCTGGAGGAGCACAGTTTGAGAAATTCCACTCTATAGCTCTATTTCTCCAGGTGTTTTGGCATACCCATCATGAACAACTTTAACTCTTGGCAGTATTTGAAGGGATGAACCTGGGATGATGGGAGTGGTAGTTTACACATCTATTTATGCATTTTCTAATGGAACCATTCATAAAATGTTTTAGGTTTTTTCTAATAAATAGCATTACAAACTGCCTAACTTGGGCATTGCCAGGTACCTAAGCTAGTATCATATAAAGCCTATGGCTTAGGTTCCAGTTATATTCCCTCATATCAGACTGTCTGACTCATGAGATCATCAAGGGAAAAAAAATCTGTCTCACTAAATTGAAAGTTATGTCTGATAGGAAAGTGGGAATAGATGAGCTCAGAAGATGCTTCCTATCTCAGGAAGTCTATGACAGATTGGTCCTCTCCATGGTGTCCTTCTTTTAGAAGAGGATTTTTTTTATTTTGACAATTATTATTCTTATTCAATTCTTCCCATTATTCAAGAACTCATTGATTATCTTGTTCAGTGCTGGTGAAAATGGCAGAATGGCAGGATAATGGCAACAATAACTGTAGTTATTGTAGCGGGGTGACAGAATGAGATGTGGGGCAATTTTTTTTAATGGCAGATGTGCTCATTATCCCAAATGGTGGAAGCTTTTGCTCATTAACTTGAGAGGTAACATCATATTATTAATACAAAAAGTAACAGCATGCTAATCATGATTTTGCTTTATTTATTTATTTTTTACTCAAAGCTCTTGGAAATCACATTGTGCCCACCTTCTTCATTCTCATTAACTGCCCTGCTTCTGCCCATTCATGCCTCAGAGTTCATGTTCATGTTTTTCTGATCTGGAAAGGATGACCACACAGTGTAGAATGGAAGAAGGTAATGAGATATTTCTTCCTTTACCGATCAAGACCCAAATTAGAAAATAAGATTGATGGTAGATATGTTATTCAGAACTTGGACAGATCCCAAGGAAGACATGAGTTGCTTCTTTTATGAGGATGGCTTTATCACTGGAAAACCTGGTTTGAAAGCTTTGCATTAGGTTTTTCTCAATGGAATCAAGGTTTAGATTCAGTTTGTCGGTGGATTGTACAATTGACCTTCCTTATTCTCCTCTGCTCTCTCTCTCTCAAAATCACTGCTTGCAGTGTGGTCATTAACACCCATAGAGAACTATATATGCAGTAAAGAATGTGTCTACAAGATGTATTATCTATACACCACAAAATCAGGACTACATTTTGGGCTTATTTATCTTGATCATCATGTCAACAGGAAAGTAATCAGTACAGAAGCTGCAAGCATCACAAAAATGAGGAAGAAGGGAAGGGACATGAATAATACATTCTAAACAGCTATATAGCAGTATGAAGCTTCCCTAGTCTCCAAATAAACATCAACAGCATGATGGCAGTTGTACTCTTCAACAGTTCAAGTTTCTACTTAAAAATGCTCTTATTCTGGGCTGAAAGGCAGAGAAATAATTTCCCAAATAATGCCATTCTGCCTTTCCTGTTCATTTCTGAAATGATATATGAGTTCACAAAGTTCCACCTTGTCTCCTGTGCTATTTTAATAATATATTATAATATAATATATTGTATATACATATAATATTTCTAATATTGTAATGTAATGCAATATAATACTAGTAATTGTTTTTAAATGCGTAATGATTTTGTATTCTGTATATCTAAACTGTTGTAAACCGCTCTGAGTCGCCTAAGGGCTGAGAAGAGCGGTATACAAATAAAGTAAATAAAGTAAATAAATAATAAATGTTTTTATCTCCTTGACACAGTCAAAACAATGTGTTTTATCTCACACAATAAAAGCAGTGTTAATTCTTCATATTGGAAGATTAAGGCCTGTTGAAAGGTGAAGAATATACACAACTGTGTGCTGAGATACAACATAAAGCAATTAGACAAACCAGAATATGTGTTACAGAGGATAAGGTCATGCCTTTGAGGCTGTGTTAGAAGCTTACAGTCAGCTGTAAACAAGCATTATCTAGTCCAAAACACAAGCATGCTTTGACTAGTTTTCTTAGGATCAGAGCAGAGCATTTGCCTATATTATTTTATGTTGTTATAGTGACAAAGCAAAGCATATGCATTACCACTCAAAAGAGCTTCTGTTGCTTCTATCAAGCCTCTTTGCACTGAATATGAAAGAACCTTAACTCAAGTATGTGATTAGCTACTCAGTAAATGCTACTCAGTATGAAACAGCATATCTAGTATACCTATTTTTCAAAACTGAGCAGCCTATACATCTTGACATAAGATTGGCACAGCATAGCCCACTGCTATTTCATTAGGTGGTTCACTCATCTTTATGATTACAAAATCTAGGCTTACAAGTGTAAATAAAATACTACATACAGTGGATAGAATCCATATAGATCAGATACACTGCTTTTCATAAGATATTTTGCTGCTAGCCAAAGAATAAAGAAGTGACATCGAAGCACATAGAACTTTAGCTAGTACTGGATATTTTACTGAAGTGTGTCTTCCATATCAATAGTTACTTATGTATATTTATCATCACTATCAAAAGCAGGGTGGGCAAACTATAGGCCTAATTTGTCCCCTGGGCCCCAGGAATCCATTTTCTCTCTCAAAATAATTACTCCAAAATGGTGTAGAAGGAATTTCCCATATGACACCCCAAATCCCCTGGGTTCAAAATAAATTTTAGAAAAAAAAGTTTTTTAAAGCCTCAGAGTAACCTAAAATGTCTCGTAGAGAAAGGCTTAAAACATGGTCCACATCTGTTTAGAGGCATGTGGGGTGCAAAAACAAATTGTTATAGGAGTGAGTGCGCTGCGGTTCTCCGAGGTCTCCTAGGGCTAATGCTGCCTCTTAGCCACCCACAGTTACCCATTCCTATCAAGGTAGGGCATTGTTTGTTGAGCTGAGATCCATAAAACTTGTTCATTGTAATCTTAAAAACATGACAAATAAAAGTGTGGATCATTCCTCTCCATTCAAATTTGAGTGTGTTTTTCACTGATTTCTTACCTCATCCTCAATCCCCCAGTATGCTCAAGGCAATTTTCATGTTTCTTTTCTAATTCCTCATAACTACAGTTTGGAGTGGTAGATCTGCTTTACAGAAAAGCTGGCTGGCTCAAGATTACTTGGTGAACATCACAGCTCAATGCAAACCGTAACTTACATATCTTATATCTTCCCTTCTAAAATGTGTCATTTCACCACACTTGATTCCACTAGACTGTAGAAGTTAGAATGACTTCTGCAGTTCATTTTGAACAAATTTCCACTGTATTACATTGTGAACAAATGCCCACTGTATCACAGTTGGGTAAGAAATTTGATTCACCTTCTATTCTCCAGTTGACCAGAAATGGGGGCAATGGCATGGAAGTAGGGGAGTGCTACTTTCATTTGATTAAAACTATCAAATATTAGATAATGTTATATATGATGGATAGCAAACAGGCAGCCTTTGGACTAAGAGGGTTATGGTTATTATTATCCTTCAGTCATGGGATGTGAAGCTTCTGTATTTTTAGTCCTGCAACTGATAAGGAAAAATGCCTCCACAGCTGGACTGAGATACTTGGCTGGGCAGGGACCAGAACAGCCTGAAGCCTGTATCCGTCTACTGATTTCAGAATCACAAGAAGAGGTGATTGCATTAGTGAAGGGCAAATTCCCCCAGCTTCAACTAGTATCGGGTCAGCAATTGTAATGCCTTAAAAATAAGCAATCTCTTCATCCCCAAGCCAAAAGAGTGATTCAACATGCTTTTGAGCTATGCCACATTTCTTTAAACTGTCATTTTTTTTTTTGTTTTAAAATCTGAGACATGAACTTAATCTCACAGCAAATAGGGGTTATTAGGAAGGAAGGTCAAAATTATTATATCAGACATTTAAGATGAAGGAATACCTCCAGATGGATTAGTTATTCCTCTACCCAATTTTGAAAGTCTCTGGTCTAGACAATGTCCTATTCTTATTGCCTCCTCTCACTCCCCACTCCCCCATCACAATAATACCAGGGTCTTCACTACCTGGGATGAAAGCTTTCACATTCAGTAAAAATTAGGAAAAACACTCATCTTGGCAGATTGGTTCTTTGAAATGTCATGGGGCAGGAATGGAGAAGACAGAGATAGCACCAGAAATGAGCAATTCTATTCCGGGATGAAATTCTCCTGTGTGTGTAAAGTTTTGGCTCTAATTATATCCTAACATTTTTTGCATATGCCAGAAGTTTCCTAGGCAAGAATGAAGAAGATAATGGGTCTTTCCTTAATGTCCCAGGGATGTTTTTTCTCCACATAACATTTCAGAAATGCTTCTGCACCTGACAGGAATATTATGTAACATTCTGATTTATCCCAGAAAAGGAAGTACTGAGTTTTCCAGCACAATTCATAAAATTTAATTGAAATGATAGTGATCTTAAAAATATTCCCTGTAGAAAGAGTGTTCTGGTATTCCTGCATGGATCTTCTGAGATGTAATATAGGTTTTCTGCTCCTCCTACCCCAAAATAGGACAACATAATGTGAACATTCACTGATTCATTGTGCAATATTGCACCAGAAGAACATTGCAAATCTCTAAAATACTCTGAACTAACCTCAATGTACATGAATTTGTATTTTTGGCATGCTGATGTAATTTAGACAAGAGGTTTTTCTCTTACATTCACAGTATTCTGCAATTTGCACTTGATGGTTCTGTTAAAGAAATGAATATCTCTCTCTCATGGTCTTTATGCACTGGGATTTTTCCAATAACATTGTTCCCAGAGCCTAAATCCAACCATTAATCCCAACTAGAGCACACTAATAGGTGCAATTGATGAATGGTAAGTTAATACTTACCACTGTTTCAATGGGTAAGTTCCAGTTGGGACTAGCAATTGGATTTATGCCAGACTGATTTTGTTATACAGAAACTGAAAAATATAATGCAGAATGAAAAAAGAATGTTCACTTGAATCCAGGTTTGCTTGCATCTGGACTTAGTAGTTTCCATGAAATGTTTATATTGCTAGATTTCAAAACAGAAACTTTATTTAAATCAGATGTAACATTGATGTATACATACGAGATCCCTCTGTTTGAATTATCTGTGATGGAAGACTTGGTTCTCCTGTTCCTAAAATATTAGTAGCCATTATTCGGAATTCGTATTCCATCCATGGGATTAAATCAATCACCTTGGCTGATTCCACATTTCCTTCAACAAGTGGAGGATCTGAAAGAAAACAGAAAGATTGTTTAATAAAAAAAACCATAAAATAATGGTACAATGACATCCCGTATTGACATTTCCATTGTGAAAGAATACAAATTCCTTACTTGTTAGTTCAATTACCTATGAGACCCCATTCACAAATAGAGTCTGGGCTATTCCAAAGTGCCTTTGCTTCATTCAATCATTAAAACAGATGAACAAACTGGGGATTTTCTTTACTTGTTTTATTATGATGTGTAAATTAGGAGTCAGAGTTTTTGGTTTGCATGTTACAGAATATCATACACAGAAAATCTAAGGTTTATTTAACTGTTCTTGCATGCAAGCACCACTGAGTGACTGGGTAGCATGCACTCACAGGCGACTCATTCCTACTTGTTCCTAAAGAATCAAGTGCAGATAATTGTGCAGGATGCACCTACACACAACTTAAGCACAATAAGCCAGGATTTTCCTGAAACTAAAGTTTATTTCTATATCTAAACTGGGTTATTATTTATTTTCTCCTTGCATTTGATGCAATCAATATTTCACATATATTAAAATCAGTAGGAAACTACCTGAATACTCTAGTTGATGGGCTATATTTCATATGTATGATAAATGTCTTTTAATAGTATTAATAGCACCAGTATGACAAAAATGAACATCAGATAAATCATCATGTTTTAGAACATTGTATTGAGATATTATATTTAATCTGACACATTTCATTCTTTATTTTCTAAAACAGTATGCATATGTGTCTGTGATTTGAAAATAAGGCAACATAATTAGGAAATAATTAAATGAACTGCATGGCCATGTTTCTAAACCTCACATTTGATTATTAGTGCTGTTTCATGGTCCAAAATTTCACAATGTTACATTCTTCAAAAAACACTAAATTTATATCACATTGCCTGCCATCCAACTAGGAAGTGATCGTAGGACAATAAAGCTATTTGAAATAGAGGGGTAACCTTATTTAATTGAAACCTGTCAGCAGTATGGAAAGCAGTTAGCTGTACAACCAGCAAACAGTGTAGTCTCACATTCCATAAGGGCAATTAGAAGGTGAAATATCTCAGCTCCAACGTACATCTAAAGCAAAGTCCCAGGACTTTCATTATCAAATTTGGTACACACAGTTAATTAGTCTAGAAGAGTTGGGTAGCCCTTGTGATACAACTTTCTGTTCCCCCAAGGGACCTCTCACTGTATAGCTATGAGGATACCCTCAGGCAGACAAATACTTCATCACAAGATGTTTCAAAGATGTTCACCAGGAGGTATAAATAAAAGTCAAATTCTGAAAGATAGGTCAATCCAATGAATAAAAGGCCCAACAGTAAAACACAAAATATCATAATATCAAATGAAAGTTGTTTAAATAGACAACTTAATCATAACTTACAATATGTGTTATTTATAACATACATTTTATTATTTTAAAATGCATAACAAAAAAAATTGGAAAAGTGGGGGGGGGGGGGTGAGGAGGCCGGAATAGATTAATTGCATTTCAATGCATTTCAATGAGAAAATTGACTTTGAGATAAGCACATTTTGGGTTAAGAGCTCGGTTATGGAATGAATTAAACTCTTAAGTCACTATATGTAACCTTGGGTCTCATGGGAGAATGATATGATATGAATTAAATATGCAATTAAATACTCAAAATAATGTGCAGTATGTAGTACACATGTATAGTTTCAGTGATGTTACTGCATATCACTGCATAACACTAATCTATACATGAGACAAAATATGATACAATCCAGTTCTCACATTAGCCCAGCTTAAACTTACCTGTTTTCATATCTTTCCAGTACTCAGAAAGAAAAGTTCTTGATTGAATTGTGTAATTTGAAATAGGACTGTGATTGTCTGTTCCACGACTCCAAGTAAGTACTACAGATGTATTTCTAATGTCTTCTATTTTGAGTCCTCCCGGTGGACCAGGAGGTCCTTAAACCAATAACATGAAAAACAATCAATAAAGAATTGAAAAGGCAGGTATCTAGAAATAAAAGTTTCACAAAAAGATAATAATATTCGATTTAGGCATTATAACACAAACCCTACCAAAGTAAATTATGGAGTAATTCAGAATAATTTAAGAAGGCAATATATATTTGTAAGGGATTTGTCCAAGATTAGGCTAAATATTAATTTGGAGAAAATCCAATCAGCACAGGTCTTGAAACCCACACACATTACATAGTATACCAGGATAACTAAGAAGGCAAGGAAAAGAAATTGGGATGAGGTGGGTAGAGAAAGAAGAATAAAGTGAGATAATAATAATAATCACCATCATCATCTTTATTTTTACCCCACCACCATCTCCCAGAAGGAACACGGGGCACTTGTAATGTAACAATACACACTGTGTAATAAAAATACAAATACATCAACACCAAAGGTAAAAACATAATTTACTTCCTTCTGATGTTTCCTTGAAGTTGCTGTTAACACATTAATATTACTGAATCCAATAATAATCACAAAAGTCAAATTAAGTGCATTTTCCCCTAATACCAACGATAGCTTGAACATAAATAGAAAAGTAATGATTTCCCTTCACTTTCCAATTTCCAAGCCCTCTGGATTGGCTCCAGCCACCTTTATTAGATATGTATGTATGTATGGAGGGTGGAGGGGAAGAGAGGGTGGGGGGGGGGAAGAGAGAGAGGGGGGGAGGGAGGGAGAGAGAGGGAGGGAGGGAGGGAGAATTCAGTTCTGGGTAAATGAGTTCTGGGTTGGGAAATTTCATCTATTCTTTTACATTTAATAATTAGATTTACTTCTGGAGCAAATTTTCCAATATTGAAAAGTTTAATCTAAATTCTGTAAGACAACAAGGAGAAGCACGATCTCCCTTTGTTGCATTTCAAGATTGGGTGGCATTTTCAAGGATGAGGTTATAAAACCCGCCCATTGCTTCCCTGGGTCTGCCATCGCATAATAGTCACCACTGCATAATAATTGCACACACACCCCTTTTAGGCATCCTGGTTTGGGAATTTAACAATCCCCCCCTGCCTTCCCCACACCTGCCCTTTAGAGCAGCCCTGTAGGTGGGTGGGTGAAGGTGTGAGAGCTGGGAGGCTTCCCTCTGTTGCTGCCAGCTGATTGAGGCTTCCTTTTCCTCCCCAGCAGGCATAAAAGTGATTTTGCAGGTATGGGGTTTCGCTCAGTTGGCTTCCACAGGAAGCCTTGTAGCTGCAAAAGAATTTCACTATGTAATAGTCCCAACCCCCTTTCCTCACCCCCCTCCCAAAAAAAGGGGGAAAGTGTGACTATTATGTGGTAAAATATGGTATTTTAAACCACACTGACATCCTAGTAAAGTCTTAGAACTTGAATCACAAGTTCTATGGAGGAGAAATGTATGGTGTGTGATGTTAGCAGGCAATGAGAAAAGTCATGCTTTTCTCCTCTGAAGAACTTGTCAGTCAAGTTCTAATGTGTTTGCAGGACGTCAATGTGGGCTAAAAGAGCATAGAGAATCCAGAGAAGTCATCTTTCTAACCCCACCTTTGAAAATGCCACCCAATCCTGAAATGCCTGCCAACATTTTACTAGTTCTCTTAAGATATGTGTATGTATCTTAACAAAATTCTTACCTCTCACAACTAAATCAGCTGATGCTGTTGCATTATCAACAATTGACTGAGCAACACATGTATATCTACCAGCATGACGGAGTTGGGCATTTTTTACTAGTAGTTCACCATTATCTTTTATCTGTGAAAAAAACACATTATAGTATTTGTATCAGTACTATCAAATTGTTTGTTTGTTTTTTACATTTAGACCTACCAACAATTTCATTTAGTTCATAATAAGGGTACACACTGGAAGTCAGTATTTATTTTTATTAATTTGATTCTGACTATATTTGAAAAATCAGCAGAGACCTGGTATTAGCTAACACCAGACGAGACCACCTGCGACCAAATAATTTGAATAACTATCTACTCTTTTGGAAACATATTCAAATATCACTTCAGATTTATTTGTTAGCAATGATTTAAGCAGATAAGTGGTTTTCTATGGAATGTAATTTCTAAATATTACAGTATGTAACATTCAATTCAGTTTCACAATGGCTTTGGTTCACTCTGTCAAATATAAATCAATATCTTTCTAATTTAACTTTTATTACTTTCAGTGACAATTACACTGAAGGCACAATATCAATACAATATCAAAACATGGCATGCTCCTTTGTGTTGCAGTTTGTTAAGAAATTGAAATTAGATCAATTAATGGAGTTATACACATTCTTCCTTTTATAGACTTCTCAGTCACCCTTTCAAAATATATCCAGGTATGAAGTAAACTATTACAAGAAATTAACAGCTGGATTGCTATCGTATCATCTTGAAATAGTTAGTGTTTACTGCCTTAATTCCCTCAAATCATTCCAATTATTCATTTGATTCATTTTATCTAGTTTCCCACTGGAAGCAGAGAGATAAGCATTCCTCTGAGATTACATAGGTGTTCACTCATACTTATCTACTGAAGTATTAGAAAATAATACTTCAGAGAATTGCCTTTCAGCAAAAAGAAAAGTATTTTGAAGCTTTTGTTAATGGGTATTGATAAAAACTGCTCTGTTACAAATGGGCAAAATTTTCAAGAATAAGAAAATTACCTCAGAAAAAAAAATATTTCCAGGTACAGTAAGTAATGTATTGTAACCGGAGCAGTGAGATGGTTTATGCTCATATTAGGGATAGAAAAAATACTAAAAAAAATCAAATGGTTGAAAATCACATCAAAAAATCCCAAAGAGAAGAATCCTAGACTGACCAGAATCTTTGCTATCCAGGACATAATATGGGTACAGGAAACAGGATATTATTATTTTCTGTGTAGAAAAGGCTATTTCCCGCGTAGAAAAAGCTGTGATTTCTATGTACATGGTTTTGCTTGCATATTAAGTGTATCTTACATTCAGGAAACAGTTTTTCTGGACAACAAAGGCCCCTGTTTCCTGCACAGAAAATACTGTTTCTTACAAAACAACATATGCAAATTTTGCACAGAGTAAGTCATGAATAGCATTTGCAGGCACTCTCAATCATAACATTAATCATACCTTACTATTGAACATGTTGTCTGGCATAAGATAAATTACAGTCCAAGGTCTGAGGAGTATGAAAAAATATAACTATAAATATTGACAATTCTGGGCAAATATGTATTGCCCAACATATACTTTAGGTTGTCTAAAATGTGACAGCTCCATGGAAACAATACATAGCTGAGACTATTTATACTCAAATCATCAACTGCTGACTTAAGGTAGGAAAGTATACAGTCAGCTTCACATCTACATGATGTCTATTTGCATGCAAAATCTCTAAGGAATCAAACATTTAATGGTTTATAATCTAGCTTGCCAGTCCTCCATGGGAATGTTGGTTTTCCCAGAGGCAAAAACAATCAAATAATTAGCATGGTCAGCAGTATGTTTAGCCACAACACAAACATTCATGCCAAATTATATTCTTACTGAAAATCAAATTTAGCTAGGATACAAGGAAGACCTGAGTCATAAACTGGAAATTTTGACATAAACTTGAGAGAAATCCAAAAGGATGTATGCAGTTCACAATTCAGAAGTCTTGTGAAAGTACAAAGCAAAAGGTCCACATTTTTAAATCATGATTTGAGACTTAGACATAAGTTATTTTGAAATTTTGCTGCAATCACAAGAGAAACATTATCCTCTCATCAGTTTCTCACAGAAGATAGCTTCATACCATTTTCTGTATTATGGTAGAACTAATTCTATATCACTGACATAAATTGAAAGTGTGGGTTGGCCAAAAATGAATACTTCAAACCTAATATTTTCCTATGAAGTTTATTTTTAAAACAAATTTTATTTGATAATTGATAATTGACTTTGGGAATGTTTATGCTTCTTGCTTATTTTAACAATAATGGACTGTTTATACATTCTGGATAAAGTTGAGTACACTCTAGCTTTACACTTGAGCAATTCCTTTGTATCAAATATTAGGAAAGCAGGCATGTGAAGAGCTTTAAGAACCTGTTTCAGATGTTAATAGGTTACGCTATGGAATCGAACAAGAGTCCCTGGTGTCACCTTTTGAAACTGAGCCTCAAAGAGGAACTAGACCTAGTTCAAGACTATCTTCTCAATGCCATCACAATTATGGAGTCCCAAAAGATACCGTGGTTGATAGCATGGAATGCAGATGAAGCCAGAAGAATGAACAGACACACACTCTAGTTTTTAGTTGACAAGATAGATAGCCAATCTTGGAAACCAATGTTAGTTTAGTATCAAATCTAGATTCTGAAATATGAGGTGTCTTTAATACCTATTGATAACACTATTTCTAAACTTTCCATTTATTTTTCATGACATTTCATAACATGGATAACTGGACAACTGGGCAGACAGATACAATGGTAGTAGAAAAGTGTGATCTACTTGATCTACTTGACATAACCAACACAGCACAATCCCTGATATGAACTCTGCACTTTATCCTGCTGGACTTCTCTTAGTTTTCCCTCAACCTTCTCTGGTGTGGGTTTTCCTTGCACCATTTTCCTGGACTCACTAGAAAACCAAAGAACAAATAGAAAAAAAGAAGTCCCAGAATAGAACAATGTCATTTCCATATCAAATGATCAGTCTGATTTTTTTTGAAGCACCAATTGGAACAAGGAAAAAATCCTCTGACCGGCCAGGAATCTATCTGAATCTTTATTTGGGTGGACTTTGGAAGACTACTTGTAACACTAAACACTAACATAAGGTGATACACCTGAAAAACAGACCTCATATCCTGATCACTATCATCCCATCCAGAAAAGGAACGAGAAAATCATAGCAGAATCAACTCTCTTATTCAGGATCAAATCCTGTACATAGACATACTTTATATATATTGCCTCATAGGGCCTGCACTCCCCCAGGACCCTGGTAAAATGCTAAGCACAGTAGACAGAAAAAAAAACTAGCAACAAGTACAAGAATACAAGATATGACTGGGGAAGGGGAAATTCAAATGATATTTTGCTGACCACCTCAAATCTTAGGAAAACATAGGTTTAAAATGCTTTACATAAATTCAATAAAAGCAACATATGATGATTACAGATTGTCTTTTGCTTATATGCAAAGCATATTCTTGCATTCCCTTTTTGTTCTCTGTCTTGAACAGAACTATTCACAGTAAGTGGCACTTGTTTCTACAAAAGCTTCCTCCATTTCTAATGAATGCAAATTAGTTTCTGTTGTATTGCTGTCGGCATTATGACAGAAATACAGAAATCTACTGAGATATTCCAGTCAGTTTCATTATTATCCTGTCACTCTTACTTGACTATTAATATTATTCGAGCTATCAAAATCACTGTGAACTCCATCAAAATTTTGAGAAATGCCTGATGCAACATAATATTATGACATAAAACATTCAGCTGAGTTTTATGACAATGCACACTGCAATGATTAATATTTTAATCTTTACATCTACAACTTCAATTGATGAAAATAGTTTGCCTGTAATGTTAGCTCCTGCCATCCCATCCAAACAGACTTCCCAAACTGGAAACAGAAAACCTTATCCAAAGCTGCCATCTGGTGGCTACATCTTATAACTCCACATTAGAAAAAAAGCCATTTTTAGAGTGAAAGTGCAAGTGGAATTAAATTAAACTTGGTACCCAAGCAGAGGTGGGAAGGATAATAGATTGAGAAATGCCATTCATCCTTCTATGGCTTCTATTTCCAAGTTTTCTAGTGGGTTAAAAGGAATATCTGTGCACATCCACTAGAAACATCAACATTTTAATATCATCAACAATTTTGTGACACACCCACATATTATTCTATATATCCTATGAGTGGGAATTATATGGTTTCCAGATGTTGCTGGACTGCAGTTCTTAGAGTTCTCACCATTGCAGTTGTATCATTCTCCCTTGTTTTTTACCCTTATCATGCTAATACAGCATTGCTTATCCACCTCCTAACAGCAGTCCTTTCCAATAAATTTGGATAATAAAAAAAACAAAAGGTAATCACAACCATCCAAATTTAAGTTCCTCAGATAGAATGTGTTATCTTACCATGATGCTCCTTTCATAATATTCACTCTCTCTATCAACATCTACTGGATATCCATTGAGAAGCCAAATAAAAGTCAAATCTAATGAGGGATCATGGGATGCATGACATTGCATAGTGGCATTTTGTCCAACAATGACATCAACATTAGTAGGAGCTAGAATTATCCTTGTAGGAGCTGTAAAAAGTAAAAGCAAAAATATGCATGTCATCAAACCAGTAGATGTACAACAATCAAAATTTTGTTTTTCTGTGTTATATACTATGTAAAATATTTTGCTGAAGTTTCTCAGTAATAACGAAGAAATTTACATCCACATGCATGTGCATTTTAGCATTTATGGAGATTTCTTTTACTCATTATATCTAGTTATAATTTTAATTACAAAAATATTTCACAGAGATTACCACAATAACATTTATAACAATCTGTGTAAGTAATGATATTTTATATCTGTCTAGTTTTTATCTTTCCATGGTCATTATTTTAGCTTTATTTTGTTCTCAATTTTACTGCACTTTAATTGATTTTTAGTGTGCTCTGGTCTTAGTCTTTTGGTTTAACTTAGTTCTTTGCTTTTATATAACCTTCCCAGAATTTTTTTTCCACAAAACTGGCTCTGAAGTACAAATGCACAGCAGATCTGAGGGTGGTCTCAGAGCATCCAACAGCAACTAATACCATGTAAAGTTCTGTTTTCTGTGTATTGTACATTTATCTTACACATATTGGAAAATACCTGTGGTCAAAAGAGTAGAAGAACTATTTGCTTTTCCTTTGAAATTTTCTACAAAACAGGTGTAGTTGCCCGCATCTGCTACTGTCACATTCATAATTTCCAAACTTCCATCATACCAAATACGTATCCTGTTCAAAGAAAAATGGTTAGGAAAGGTATCAAAGAAGAGTAACAGACCACCCATCCAACAGTGATAGAATTAGCTTCTCCCATCTGAAAAGTCACAACCCTTAACTAATAATAAATGACAATTTTTCAATATCAAGGCTGGGCCATAAGAATTTTTATCATTCCATCTTACGTATATATTCATGAACACTTTGTCATAATTTCATTAATCAATTAACAAAGTGTGGTTTTCTTTTGGAAGCAAGTCAATATATAAAAATGTCCAGAATTACATATCAAACAAAGACATTCTAGTTAACAGAAGCTTTTTGCTAATTTTGCAAAGTCTATGACTTATCTCAAATATCAATGCTATTTCGAACCACAAACTGCAGGTAACATGGAAGACCAGAAATATTATTTTAGTGGCCCATTGCAGTCAGGTATGTACAGTACTTGCCCTATTGAACTCAATTGAGTTTATTTCCAGGTAAATATGTATAAGATTTATTGTTGGTCTTATTTTCCCAAGGACTGAATTAGTTTATTTATTTAGAGAATCTAGACTTGTATTTCAGCCACAGAGGCTCTCAGGGTATCTTACAAATTGTTAATTTGACAGTTCCCTGCCCTCAGGTTCACAATATAAATAGGATACCATGTTTAAGTAAAATGGAATGGCAGTAATACTTTCCTCCTTTCAAAGTCAGGGCAGTTAGAATAGAGCGAGTTCTAAAATCTGTACAAAACACCTTTCAAAGTTACAATCAGCTTCAGTACTCAGTATTCCTCCTTTCACTTGTAATAGATACCACAGTGGTATCAATTGCTCATCAGAAAATGCTGAATGTTGATCAGAGATAAATTATTCCTTTTTATACAGTTCTAATATACTTAATTGAACAAGCATATTCTAGAGTCCTTCAACTGAATCCAAATGAAGCACATTACTGGAAACATTATTGTTGAAAGTATGCTTTGGCTGAAGCTCTAAGTGTTTGCAAACAGAGTTTAGAGACTATTTCATCGCTTTGGCATGACAAAAACTCCAGCTGTGTGGTATAACACAAACAGGGAATAAGGACTGCTGTAGAGAGATTGCTTTCAATTTTAATTACATTTCATGATGGTTTTCTGTATCTTTGCACACTGCATTAAAACTAATTATTTCGTGTACATCCTAACACTAATATTATAACTAGGACACTCCAGTTTTATTTTTTAGAATAATGTGACAAGTTCCTGGTATGCGTATATATTGGGGGGGGGAGAGAATGAGAGAGAAAAGACATTTTTTTAAAAAGGAAAACTCATGATATTGAGTCATGAATACTGTCTTCTAGACGTGTGTCATTGATATAGAATAGGATTCACTTCAGACATTATAAAAAGATGTAAATATACCCACAGAATTGGGAATTGTGTAATCTATAAAGCATGAAACTTCATTAACTCTCCATGGCATCTAAACAAGCTATTATGCCTAAGAAAATCTGGGTCTAGGCTACAGAAATTGGTACAATCTGCAGAATAACTATTGACTATAAAATGCAAAATCTGTGTTTCCCTTGTATCCTAAATATTTTAAATTAGAGTCTCCTTTAGCTGTTTTCATCTTTGGTGACTAATACCAAAAGAAGTCACAAAATAGCTAAGGCAAAACAAGGACACTCTTCTGTCAACTGGTACTGAGCAGGAAAATCATTTTGCTGCCCAGGCAACTAGGAGATATTTCCTATTTTCTCTCCCCCCCCCCCCCCACTGACCTGTTATAGCATAGTGAAAGAAAAATAAACATTCCCATGTTGTCTAGACAACTGTACTTCAGTCCAGCCTTAGAAGGAATAAATCATCCCTCCCATATTGTCCAACCTTTCACTGCTGGTGTCAGAACAGTATCAGTAGACAACAAGCACTCTATGATTATATAGAAATACTGATTCTGACCTGTTGATCCCTGTTCTTATCATACTGTGCTATGTTGCAGAATAGAACCAGAATGTAAAAAAAAGGGGTCTTCTATGAACTGAGAAAAAGCCTGTCCCCTTGACAACAGCAACAGCAACAACAACGTTAATTAATTAATTAATTATATTTGTATCCCGCCACCATCTCCCTGAAGGAACTTGGGGCAGTTAACAAAGCACAGCAAAGTGCTGCATATAAATAGTACATAGACCTAAAAACAATAAAACCATAAAATTACAATTGCACACGCATGCAGCCACACAATAAAATATTAAAATTCACAACACACAGTACTAGCTGTGAATAAAAACAGGTTATTTTCAATTGACACTCCCCGTGCTGAGGTGACAAATAGTAAATCTTCAGATTACCCTTAAAATCTACTCGAGATCAAAGACTTGTTTGAAAAGCCATGTTTTTAAACTGGATCGGAAGGTTTGAAGCAAGGGGGATAACCTGATCTCCTTAGGGAGATAAAGCACCGAAATAATACTTGAAGGCAGGGGGGAGTTTGATCAAGGCATATTAAGGTTTGATTGTTTGCTTTCGAAACAATCCTAGTATAACTGTGTAGATTAAGGATAGTCAGATAGGATGCTGATTTCTATAATGAATACCAAGCAACTCAAGGAAATGCAAGTCATAAGGACACCTGATTTTGTTTTATTTCACCATCAGTTTGGGTCTGTTATTAAGGACTTCAACCCACACAATAGTTGTTTTTCCCTTAAGCTTTACAATGCCCAGTCTGGAAATTAAACAAATGATTTTCCCGCCCCCATCACATATTTTCCTTTATTCAGCTTTCTTTTCAAATTATTCGTTTGTCTTCCCATCACACGGGAGACAAATTTCTCCTCCCACTGTCTCCTCTCCTGTTTTCTTTTACTAGAAAAAAAATCCTCTGTGTTTGTTCTCATAGAAGTACTTTTTAATGCAAAAGAAATGGTTTGGAGTGCCACTGCTGAATTATGGAGTTACCAGTGCATCTGCACATAACAATTTGAAAAAGTCATTTGCTGATTCAGGCCACCACATGAACCTTCTTTATGTGTTATTTCCATGAAGGACACCCTGGGTAAGGTTAGATCCTGCTAGACCAAGCATGGGAAAACTAAGATCCATGTGCTGGATACAACTTTTTGTGCATTCTCCATTCGGCAGGAGGACATTCGAGAATTTCGGGGGTTGAGGCAATGAGGAAAGCAATATTTTGCCTCAGCTACATGGGGCAGCTCTCTCCCCAGCAACTGCTGGACTGAGGTTCCCCCTCGGCACCCAGGCTTGGCTGCCTCTCTTCCTGAAGCAAAAGGGAGGGAAAGGTGGGGCACTGTCACCAAAGGGAGTTGGGGTGGAGGAGGAGATAAGAAGGAGAAGCATGAACAGTCATTTGCCTCGACTGTGCTGGGTATGGAACATCTTCCTCAGAGTCCAGCTAACAAGGCATGGGGCAGTAATGGTCACAAGAGGAGAAAGGGAAGAGGGAGCAAGGGGTGCGTGAGTGGTCACATGCTAGTGAAAGAAAAAAACCTTCCCTCTTCTGCCCCTTGTATCTTGCTGTCCATCATTTTAAGGACTGGGGCTTCTCCAACTTCTCTCCCCTTGCCCTCTTCTCAATTTGTGAAGAGAAAGTGGGCATGAGGAAGTAGGTTGCATGCCCATTGGAGCTGAAATGGGGGAGAGGGCAGCCTGTGGCCTCTCCTGAGCAATGAAACTCCTCAGCCTAACCTACTTCAAAATGAAAACTGAGGAGGTAGCTGCCTGGTGGGGCCTCAGCCATGGTGAGGGGTGGTGCCAGCAAGAAGGGGATCAAGAGGCACAAGGATGAAGAGGTACAAGGAGAAAAATGGGGGACATGGACTCAAGGCAGAAAGCAGTGATCTATCACACCTTCAGGCCAAGTTCCCCATTATCTCTTGCAACAGCTGCTACATTTGCTTCAATTCTGAAAGCCAAACTGAAGCACACAGCAAAGGGAAATGCCATGATTGGCAAGTAAAGAGAATTGAGACAGTCAGAAGTAATTGTGGCCAAGAAAAAGAGATACGCCTGTGGGCAGGGGAGGGAGAGAGGAAGGAGGGGGGCATGCCTCTCTCCCTGTGAGCCTCACGCTGAGGAGGGAAAAGCACTGATGGGGTTATGATGGATCGCACCCTCCTGCTAAGAGGAAGGGCCACCCCACCTCTCCTGACCCAGCCCAACCCAGTGCATGCCCACCCTCCATCCTGGCCCTTACTTTTTCAACTACAATTCCAAGTATTCCCCAGCAAGTCTTAGCCTACACAATCCCATCTTGGCTGCGCGACTCTGAGAGATACAGTACAAAGAAGTAACTTTTTCTAAAAAAATTAGACATTCATCAAATTTTGATGGGTCTTCATATCTGACCATTTATGATATGTTCCATTTTAAGCAGTGAAGCATACTTTGAGTTGAACTGTAAACAGTAATACTGACCGGGTCGAGTTTTTAAGAATATCTGCCCCTTTGATCCATGTGAGTTTTGGCCTGGGAGCTGCTCTGGGCTTGCACTCAATTATAGCTTGACCTCCTCGAGCAGCCAGAACTTCTTTCTTCATTGGGTAGTATTCAAAGGTCGGAGCTAAAACTGTAAAAAAAGACATCTATTGTTAGGCATGTATGCAGTTATAGATGATTCTACTAACACAAGCCTATGTACATAAATTCAGAAGAATGCCCTACTGAGATTTCCTCACTTACTTCAGGAAGCCTATATGAGGCTACAACTTACATCTTTGACAAGGCAGAATTGAAGAAATTTGTTCTTCATTTAATAACTTCTTTTAATTCATGGAAGAGTTGAATAAACATAAACACATTCGCACATCCCTAGACCTCAAGATATTTTATTTTTAGATACTGAAGGTAGCACAAAAACTTCTGTTCCAGGAAAATATGGTGCATAGAAATTTTGAGACTAACCAGCATAATTAAATAAAAAACTTGATAAGCCATCCTCCCTGAAAATACATTTTATTCATTTGGCATAATTTGATCTACTTCCATGACAGCAATAACTCCAGTGAGATCAGTGGCCAGTTTAGCTCCTGCTCAAAAAGAATGGAAGGACATGGGGGAAGCCATTCTGCTTTGACCATTGGCTTGTGCTGCTATACTTGATGGATAGAACAGGCACCTATAATATTTACTTTTCTAACATCCAAAATAGCCTACATATAGACAAATATATTTTACAGAATATTTGCAAACAATGAAAATAGTTCTAATTGATTATAGATTATGGGTAGTCTATTAATTAAATTGAGTTAAATTTTGCATTTGTGTTAACTTTTACATTGCATACATTTATACAAGCCTTTCATATGATTTCAAGGATAGCTTAGGTAATCACAACAGAAAAACATAAAATTAAATATCACATATAAACGTAAAGAAGTGAAATCAGAAACATTTAAACATTATATTATTAGCAGACACCATATAGATCTGCTTAGCCTAAGAGGTAGAGCAAACTGAATGGCTGAAAAAATAAAAATTGTTTTGTTTGGCATAAAAATAACATAAGGAGTCCCTATACATAGAGATTGAATGAACAAGATGTCTTCATCCTTTATATGGAACTATCTGCTATATTTCAGATAGCAGAAGCACTCAAAGGAGGTTCTTATAGGAAGATCTTAGAATCTAGAAAGACACATATGGGAATATGCAGTCCTTTAGGTAACTAGTTCGAAAACATATAAGATTTTAGAGGTCCAAACAAGCATTTTAAAGCCAGTGATGATTCATGACATTTTTATTGTCAGTAGTTGAAGATAACACAAAATATTTTTTCACTAACCGATAACTTTTAGCTCAGCATTTGAATAAATCATTCCATGTATATTCTCTGCTACACATTGATACATGCCACTGTCTTCATTCTTCAGGCTAGAAAATCTCAAGTCTCCCTTCCAGTACTAAAAAAAAAGCACACAAAATATTTTGAAGATTTAAAACATCTAAATTCCATTTAGGTTTGGGAAGAAAATTGATTGGGTCATCTTAAGGAATACATAATACATCATTATCTAATGAATTATATTGTGGAAATAAATCAAAGCAGAATTCAGTACTATCATCTCAGTTTCAGTTTTTAATAAGTCGGATATTTCTCTGCCTGCAATTTGTCCAAATAATAACCCCAGAGCAAAGAATGTGTGTTTTTTAAATAAAAAATAGTGTTTATTAAATTTTAGACATACATAGGCTAAAATGACAAAGAAAAAAGTGTTACCTGATGTACCGCTAACTATTCATAATAGTGAGAACATTGTTAAATGTTGTGTTTGGCAAATGGTGGTGAATGTGTTACACTAAAACCACAGAGGAAGTGATTGATGCAGCTCAAGTATATGTAGTTTAAAGGCCTCACCATCAAATAAGAGCACATAACTAATTATTACATATGACATCATCTGCATACTATTTTTCTTCATTTCAGTATTTTTCTCCTTTGGAGGAGAATATAAAGAGAGTGAAATATCAGGGTTTAAAAAATACAAAATTCTTACAACAATCAAGATTCTTTGTTCCATTCAGGATAATTATATGGTTTGAAAATAATGTGTCACTTTTTTCAATCCTGCATGGTAATACAATAAGCAAATTTTCTGTCAGAAATGCGATGTAGTTTATCATAACTATTGTGCCCCATGAAGACCCTCACTGTTTACCCCTATTTAAGCCCTTTTTAGTTAGAGGGATTAATATTTTATGTACAGTTTCTGGGAGGTCAGTCTAGACAGCCTCCTTGCATTTGAAACCTCTGTTGCCCTGCCCCTTTAAGAATCCCCTCAGGGGCAGAGCCTCTGGCAGGGCACTTTTGGTTCTTGGAAGAGTCAGTCTTTTCATGACTGCAAGGTGAAGAGAGAGAAAGGCCAGAAGGACTACAAAATAGCATGTTTGGCGGAGCCATATCCAAGTCCAGTCAGAGTTAAATATGGAGACAATCTTAGAGACAGTTGAACACCATACAAGAAAGGGACAAGAAGAAGAAAAGCCCTCTGATTTTAAACACCGCACGTTCTTTGGATATTATTTAATTTTAAGTGATGGCATCTTCCAGTTTTACTGATAGAACAGCCCTTTTCCTCCTCCAGATTTGAAATATATGTATATCATTGTAAGCAATACTACACTTCAAAATTTTCTGGAATTTGAACAAGGTAAAGGTAAGGTAAAGGTAGTCCCCTGACATTAAGTCCAGTCATGTCTGACTCTGGGGTGTGGTGCTCATCTCCATTTCTAAGCCAAAGAGCCAGCGTTGTCCGTAGACACCTCCAAGGTCATGTGGCCGGCATGACTGCATGGAGCGCCGTTACCTTCCCACCGGAGCGGTACCTATTGATCTACTCACATTTGCATGTTTTCGAACTGCTAGGTTGGCAGAAGCTAGGGCTGACAGCGGAAGCTCACGCCACTCCCCGGAATCGAACCTGTGACCTTTCGATCAACAAGCTCAACAGCTCAGTGCTTTAACCCACTGCGCCACCGGGGGCACCTTGAACGAGGTACTGCATGCTAAAGATACAACTTTTATGAAATCAACATTTATTAGCCTATGAATTCAGAAATGTTGAGATTATGATGAAAATTACAAATTCTGCAAATTGTATATGATGTTTGCTTGTATTTTAAAAATACTTTGTCCAACAATGAAATAATTCCTAGTGCAAGAAAACAGGATTGGGGTTAACAGATAGCAATATAAAGACAGCATGTTAATTTTAAATGTTACAGCAGATGAAAATGTCCATTTCAAAACCAATGAGAAAACAATGCTAAATGTATAACACAAATATACATTTTCACTAACATATTTTACATTGGGGATATTATTTTGCAAAAATTTGTCTCACATTCTTTGTTATTTCTAGAAAAAAAGTAATCTAAGCCTACCGGTATTCCGTCTTTCAGCCATCGGATTGTTGGAAGAGGCTTGGCTGCAGCTACACATGGCCAGTGGAACTCACTGCCTAAATCTCTCTCCGTGTCATTAATGTGCTCCACCCATTCTGGATATGCTGAAAGGTGTAGAAAATACAACTCTTGTCTTCCATGTAAACTTGAAATCAACTGTTTGTTTTCCTCTTTTGAATACATTACTTATCTCTATCTTGTTCAATATAAGGAAACTAATTTGTTTAAATGTATTTAGTCTTATTTGAACTATATTTTAACTGGTGATGTATTGAGATATGGGCCTCCAGATAATCACTTACAATTCCTAACATGCATCCTCTTTCAAAAATCCTACCAGGACTGATGGGAACTGCACTCCAACCATATTGGAGGGCTACATGTTTCTCATCTCAGATTTAAATAAACCACAGTTCCCTGGGTTCAGAATTAATTGCGACCTGTACTTTGTTTCAAAGCAGATGGTTCCCATTGTCTTTCTCATGTGTGTAGGAGAAAGGTATGGTGTGTATGCAAACTCAACACCATTCATAAAATCAAGACCATGGATTCCCAAAAGATTTCCACACATCATCCCTCTTCAGGTATTACTAATTGCACATACAGAGTAATATAAGCTGGAGTGGACCCAGCCAACCATTTACATAATTGCTTTCTTCACATGAAAAGTAACATGTCTGAAAAGGAGAGGTTTCAGTTCACATGGAGGCTCTTTCCATACCATTTCAAAAATAGAATGATCCCATCTTTAATCTCCATCCAGCTAGAAATGAATTAGTGTTTTCTTTATTAAATAGTTACATCCCGTTTAGACTACTGCAACGCTCTCTACGTGGGGTTGCCTTTGAAGATGGCACGGAAGCTCCAACTAGTCCAACACTCGGTAGCCATGATTTTAACAGGAGCGGAGCGCAGGGAGCATACAACCCCCCTGTTGTGGCAACTCCACTGGCTACCGATTTGCTACCGGGCTCAATTCAAAGTGCTGCCGTTGGCCTTTAAAGCCCTAAACGGCTCCGGCCCAAGCTACCTATCCGACCGCATCTCTGCCTATGAACCCACCAGGACTTTGAGATCTTCCGGGGAGGCCCTGCTCTCGATACCGCCTGCTTCTCAAGCACTGCTGGCGGGGACGAGAGATAGGTCCTTCTCGGTGAGGGCTCCTCGGCGGTGGAACGCCTTCCTACGAACATTAGACTAGCACCATCTCTAATGGTATTCCGCAGGAAAGTGAAGACCTGGCTGTTTGAGCAGGCGTTCGAATAATTAGTGCAATGATTGGTTAATGAACATTGGAACGGAATAATGGATGACTAATCTGGATCATGTTTTTGATGATGAGACGATAGTGAATAGTGAATGGTTATTGTAGTAATTGTTTATTAATTATGTAATATGTTAGGTTGTTAACTGTTTTTACACTGTAGCATTGAATTTTTGCTGTTCTTATTTGTTGTGAACCGCTGTGAGTCGCCTTCGGGCTGAGAACAGCGGTATATAAGTAAAGTAAATAAATAAATATATATATAATATCTTAACTTATAATATTTTAATATTTTATATAAAATTAACATTTACAGTTGACTATGTTCTTAATTGTCTTGCAGAGTAGTCACAATTTAAATACAAGACAATACACCTATTCTGAAAAGTTATACTGTTCATTAACAAACTTCACACTTAAATTTTGGAACTGAAAGGCAGTTTTTAAAAAAAAAATGATATTAGAAGCAATCGGCATGAACTATTGAGTTTTAAACATGGTTTTCAGTGTTCACTGTGAGAAAGGAGTCTACCAACCTTGAACATAAACTTTTGCTGAATGCTTATCTTTTCCTCTATGATTTTCAGCTTCACATTCGTAAGTCCCTTCATCTTCAAACTGAATATTATAGATCCTGAGAACTGCACCAGACATGCTTATATCTGCACTAGTTGGCATAGGTTCCAGATATTTATTCCATCTAATCTCAGGAACAGGGCTTTGGGAAAGAAAACAGTAGATGTGTGAATAGGGCACAGTAGTCTTGACTCTTTCTCCCATCCTTTCTGACATGCTAACATCTTAACTCCACAAGGTTAATTTCTTCCAAGAAACACTCTTAAATAATCAAGTTGATTGATTTCCAGTCTTGCTGAAGCCCCATTCTGAGATCTGCTATTTTAACTAGGATTTTCATTGGAGCAGGAAATTCATTCCATAGCACACTGTAGGATTGCATATCAATGACTATATACCATATCATTTTATGACATAATTGCCTGGCTAAAAGCAGCAGTTGACTGCTCTAAGTGGAAGAAATGAAGAGATTGGGAGTACTTGGACATCCCTAATATTGTGTAGAGAAGCCAGGTTTGGCTTTGATTACTGATTAAGGCTGCTAGCTCCCAGCCCAATTAAAGTCTACTCAGACTTGTAACGTGTAACTAAATTCTAAGCATACTTACTTTCCAAGTGCAAAACACTCCAGTGTCACATTTTGTCCTAAAAGTGCATATATGTCTTTGAATTTGACTCTGATATCTGGAAGATAGCCTTTTGTACCTATTGTGAAGGGAGAAGGAAAGAAATAACCAGCTTATTACACAATACAGCACATACGATCATATGATCTGTACAATTATACCATGTTTACATCATAAGTGGTTGGCAGGATCATTTAAACAATTAAGTTCACTTTAAGTTGTTTGGCTTCTTGCATGGGATCAATGATTTCTAATGGCTTTTGAACAATTCTAGAGCAAATTCTTCAATATGGACCTCTTCACATGGCCCTTCCGGGCCATACTGTTGCACCAGCAATCAATGGTAAGAGGGAAGGCACGCAAGGTGGCTCACAGTGCTCCACATCCCTTCCCTCCTCCCCTCATCCCTTGGAAGGATGAGAGAGGGTGTTTTGGCACAATTTCCCTCCCCTCATCAAATAACAGAAAGGGTGGCAATGCGTGTTACTCTGCCACCCTTTCTGCCATCACATGGCAAAAAGTGGAGGAGCTACCCAAACTGTACTTTCCTGCCCGTAGTGGAGGAGAAATCACCTTTCGGTGCTTCTCTCCACTTTGGGAGGAATGTGGGCAGGGCCTGCTGTGTGTTGTGTGATGGTGCATGGCAGTCCCTGTCCTAGTCATAACTAAAAATGGCAAAATGGGGCAAAAATGTCCTGTGTGAAGAGGTGGCATAACTCATTCATATTAGTATAACATTAAACCATCAAGTTATTATTTTCCCCTGCTCACCAATTTAACTTTTGTCTAAATTGGTGCCATGTTGAGGGAAATTAAAAGTTTTACCTCAGAGCTGAAGCCAATTTTTTAAAATTCACAGAGCGGAGACGCTCTGGTGAACAGAATATCTCTTATACAACATATGCTGGAAAAATACTTACGATCTGCTTGAGGAATAAGTGGAATAAAACTGCTGAATACACTCTTAGTGATTGAATTGCTGGTCACAAAGCAAGAGTAGTTGCCTTTGTCTGAGGCTTCAACTTTGGCAATGTAGAGATTACCATTTGACTGTGACACATATCGTCGTTTATCCAAGGTGATGAATTCTGGGAAATCATTCAGAACCCAGCGGTAACTCAAATCATCTGGAAAGAAAAAAAAACCATTTAAATAAAACCACAACAGAACATATCAAAAGGATACAATAAGTGATTTTATTGAGGTTAAAGCTATTAGTCATTTGAGCTGACTGAGAGATGTGAATCTGTATGGCAAGCAGATTTTCTTTTAGCTAGAGATGCTAATCAGCTGAACCTTAAATTTAATATAAGATTTTCATTGCCCAAATCCATGATATCACCATATACTGCATCATAAGAAAATAGAAAACTACCTTACATCAAACTACACATGATCCTTCTAGTTTAGTATTGTACAAATACTCACTGACAGCATCTTATTAAAATTGAAGCTAGTGATTGTACAAGGTTGTTTTTCAGGCCTAACTGAAAAGGCTAGGGATCAAATCTGAGACTTTTATATATCAGAGTATTTAACTTTTTATTTACCTCCAAACACAGTGGAGGCTCTGAACTCAATAAAAATACGTGCGGAGGTTGTGAGATGTCTTTTTGATAATTTGTCCCATTGTACTTTTTGAAGCCAAATAATGATGTCAATAGCAACAATGGTACTACTTGCTCTCTACACTCTTCTAACTCCATTCTCCATGAGAGGAATTGTACTACTTCATATGTAAAATATATTCTTTCATAGGCTAATGTATTCTTTATATCAGAAGATGATACTGAGTGAACTCATTTATGGTTGAAAATATTGTTTTCCATTTGTGGGACTACAAAGTTATAAGTGCAAAGTTAATTCTGTTATATGTGAAGTTACATGCAATGTTCATAAAGCTTAATCAATTAAAGCTTTTAAAACAACCAAATACAGTAAGTCTAAAGAAAACCAGCTGCTCTCTAAAGAAACAAAAAATCTCAAGTAGAGAGGTCGATCAGCACTTCTCATATTACAGGGTTTAAGCAGCTTATGAAGCTTATACACATGTATCCAAAGTTAGTGATTTTGTAATCATGTTAGTTTCTGTTCTGACCTTCCAACAAAAGCTGAAACATATGGATTTAATTACCTGGATAATGAGGTGGCGGGTTACAGAGAAGGACAGCACCAACGCCTTCTCGTACTTTTACTGGATGTCTCTCTTCAGGTGTAAAAGGATAGAGATCTATTTGAAATAAGTTACATGTGTTATATAATCATGTTATAACATGCAACTACTCTTACAGAAATAAATAATATATCAAAATATATTCAAAATAAATACACAATGAGATGAACAGATAGACAACAATATATTGATTATTTGTTCTGAATAATCACTTTTCATTTCCCCTCCAAACTAATATGATGAGCTACCTCATTAGTCTTCAACTTATTTCTCTCATTCCAATATCAAACAGAAAGAATGACTATAATTTCTAAGGGATTATTTTTCATGTACTTATGTCATCACAAACAATGGGAAGTTAAGCCTTCATATTTTAAGAGGAAGAAAGTTGCTCTTCGTTTTTCTGAAAACAGGATGCATGCCAAGAGATAAAAGAAGAGCAACTTGCAGGGATGATAAATAGTCCAAATGACAGACAGAGCCTAATACTTTTCAAAGAAGCAGTCATGTTAGCCCCTTGCAGCACAAAAAGAAGAAAGGGTGGGAGAAGAAAAATAGAAATGTTGCAGCCTCTTTAATACTAAGTGGTTTTTATTTTTGCAAGTAGATATAACCCCATTTCTTCTTCACTCTGTATGGATTTGAAGAAGTGGGTTTATATCCATGAATGCTCATGAAAATTAAAAAACTAATTGGTCTTAAATCTGCCATTTTTCTTTTCCCCTTCCTTTCCCTCTCTTTTCCATCTTTTTGTGACTTACTACTAGGAGCCCTAAGGTTGGAACTGTGAGGTCAGCCTAGATAGGTGCTCCATTGCAACACCAAAGTAAAATGTAAGCCAGGACTCACAAGATAAGAGGTAAACTTCACACCATACTAAACACCAACATGTTTTGCCCTGTCCACAAAAACTATTTTATGTTGACTTTCAAAGGACATGCATCAGGGAAATACTATTTTACTAACTAGCTCTGATGGTCTTTGACATGCTTATACAAGTGTTACCACAAGTCTGCCAAGATAAAATCCATAGTGCAGTCTAAAATGTATTATGTGGAACTGCTACTCTTCATGTTAAGTGTCATTATTAATTTATTTTATTTGAAACATTTATATTCTGCCCTTCTCACCCTGCAGGGGACTCAGGGAGGAGGACAACATATATACGGCAAACATTCAATGCCGGGACATAAAACTATAAATATACACTAACATTAAAATCACTTATATCCACTTTAAAATCAGTTGCTTAAAAACCATTTCAGGACACCATTCTATTATTGCCTCATTGCACTGCCCCAAAGCCTTGGTCCCACAGCCAGATCTTCACCATCCTTCTCAAGGACAGGAGGGAGGGGGCAGATCTAATATTGCCAGGAAGAGAGTTCCATAGCCAGGGGGCAATCACTGAGAATGCCCTGTCTCTTGTCACCACCAAATGCACCTGTGACAGTGATGGGACTCAGAGCAGGGCCTCCCAAGAAGAACTTAGTCTTCATAGTGATTCATAAAGGGAGATGCGCTCGGACAGGTAAACTGGGTCGGGGCCATTTAGGGCTTTATAGGCCGAAGCCAGCACTTTTAATTGTGCCTGACAGCAAATCAGCAGCCAGTGGAGCTAACATGGGAGTTGTGTGCTCCCTGTATGCCGCTCCAGTTATTAACCTGGCTGCCTCTTGTTGGATTATTTGAAGCCTCTGAACAGTCTTCAAAGGCAACCCTACATACATATGTCAATACTAGCTATATTGGTGGTATTTGCCTTAAAAACCCTTGAAAGGATTGTTTCAGGTATATTTTTGGTTTTTTGGACATAAAATTGTATTTCATATAGCATTTATATACATTTAAGAACACATTATAACTGTACCATATGACAACTGAACCAGTGCCACAGAAAAAGAGTTTACAAAACAACAAGTAGAAAATGATTTAAATGTTTTCATTTTTTTAAAAGAAAAATGCAACTTACATCCAAAATTCAGAGTTGCTTCTCGGCTCCTTATAGTTCCATGTACATTGTATGCTATACAAACATATGTTCCTTCATCCCTTGATTTTTCAGGATTATTGATTTCCAGGTTACCTCCTACCATAATATGGTGCTCCTTTGCCATTTTAATATCAATATCCCAGTTATTACGCTGCCACCTATTAAAGTCAGATTTAATTTTTACTAAAAAGTAAACATATAGGCAGACCTGCTCAATCACCACATTACACCCCCTCTATTTGATCATGTACTTTGAATAGGGTCCAGATACATTGATAAGAAGGATGGAGCTGTGAAGAGTGACTCCAACACCAATGTCCTTGCACAAATACTGCATGTCTGACCATTCAGTGTTGAACAGAGATCTGCAGAAGACTTTTACTTATTTTTCAAGTCTGTGAATATGCCCTCAGACAGCATCCCTACTCCATGGGAAAAGCATGGATACTGATGTGAAAAAAATAAGTACCCAAACTCTCATAGTTAGGATCCTAGATTTTCATTTGGTAACAGCTTTGGCAACATTGACAGAATGGACAAATTTGTTTTTCCCCATTTGTGACAGTATTGACAATTTATTTATTTATTTACAGTATTTATATTCTGCCCTTCTCACCCTGAATGGGATGCAGGATGGATCACAGAACACATATACAGGAAACATTCAATACCGTTGTACATGGACAAGACAGACAACTGTACATAGATAGAGGTATATAGGCTTTCCCATCTTCGGCAGCTTGGAGACTTGTGCTCAGCTCCGGCCATGTGGGGGGAGGTTGCCGTCACTCTATCTTCCCTGCCAAAGAGCTTTTTTTGTAAACTTCCTCCTTGATCAAATCGCCAGCATTTTTCCGGCACTTCCTTATGGGTGTCTTAAATGCTTCCCTGCTTTAAAGTAGTACCTATTTATCTACTCACATTTGCTTTCAAACTGCTAGGTAGGCAGAAGCTGGGCTAAAGGCCAGAAGCTCACCCTGACTCAGGCTTTGAACTGCCAATCTTTTGATTGGCAAGATTTATTGCAGCTGGTGGTTAACCTGCTGTGCTGAAGCCCGGCCCTTTCATTCAGCCTTTTAAGCCAGTGGAACAAACTCTTTAAATTGCATTCTTTCCACTCAATCTCACACCTAAAAAGGTGAATTCCCTCACTTGGAATGTTTCATTTTTCAAATAGTTTTCAGGGCCTGCTTGCACTGTTTCACGTGGAAAATAGCCAATTTCCTAAAATGAAAAGTAGACCTTCAGTCCACTTTCAGGTGTCTTTGGTTTTTAACAGTTAATGAGAATGGTAAGGAGTAGAAAAGTACCACTGTACCAACCACAGTTGCTCACTTCTTATGTAGAAGCCCAGTTTGGGGTCAGCCACTGCTGACTTGCAACTGCATAGATAATTGGATGCACCAATTGTACATCAGTGCATCCAATGTACAATTGGAGCAGCTGAGAGATGCTGATCTAGTGTGACTTGGTCTTGATATTATTGAAAGAGAATGAACACCAGAACGAACATGCCCTAAAACACACATCTGATCTGATATTCTGTATTTTACACTGATGTTATGTTTAAGATCGAAATATAATTTTGACCGCCAGGGGGAGTTTCTATTTCATACTCAACCTTTTCCACACAAGAAGCTAATTAAATTTTAATACTTGTATCTCTGAGAAGGATCAGCACCAGAGATTTGTCAGAGACTCAAAACAGATTTTCAGTCAAACAAACACAGCCATAAAGGAAGTATAGCCATATATAGTTTACAAAATGAAAAATTCACGATCAAATTATACAGAATATTAGATAGAATGGGGAAACCTTAAGGGAATAGAACACGTTTGTATGTTCTTGCTGAATATCCAGAAATTTAATGCATCTTCTGGAACAAGAGTAAGCTCTTTTTATAGGATAGAGTGATGTCCAGAACTCAAGGAGAGGTTAAGGTTAAACATAGCAGGACATGATTAAGGGCAAGGAGGGATGTGCATATGAATGCAAATTGATTTCTATACATATGCTCATTTAAAATCTGACAAAGAGCTTTAAAGTCATAGTGCAATTTCCCTTCACTCCTCCCCATGATCCCTCATCTTCCCTATCTATAGTTGTTATCCCCATGAGGAACTGAGTGATTCTTTAAAGTAGATTTTCACTCCTTTCCACAGAGCTAGCCAGCCCCATCTCTTTGGTATTAATGTTGAAGAGTGGTTCTTGGTCAAAGTGGTCCCCAATCAAGTGGGCCCCGGGCAAAGTGGGACCTGGTCAAAAAAGGTTGGGAACCACTGGTATAGTGAAACTGAGATGAACAATTAAATTTAGGTCAAAATCTCCAGTACTAAATTGAACTGCTACTCATATACATTTACATATAGATATACATTAACATACTTGTAAGTTGGAGTAGGGATCCCTCTTGCTCTACAATTCATAGTAACCCTTCCTTCAGGAGATTCTTCTGGGTAGACTGTATCAATGGGTTGTTCTTCAAAAATTGGCCCATATCCTTTCTGTTCATCTGCAAATAAATTGACATGCATTTATTTATTATTTATTTACTTATTTATACATACATGCCATCCATTGAAAACACTGCTTTAGTGTGTAGAATTTAAAGGCCTATAAATCATTTTATGTCATTATAACGGAACTTTATATCAACAGGGTTGTTGTAGGTTTTCCGGGCTATATGGCCATGTTCTAGATGGCCATATAGATGGCCTCTAGAACATAGCCATATAGCCCGGAAAACCTACAACAACCCAGTGATTCCGGCCATGAAAGCCTTCGACAGTACATTTATATCAACAATTTAAATGCTACAGATGTCTATTTTCCACATTATTATCTTGTCAATATATTTCTGAACAGAAAAGAATAAACTATGTAATATTATGTGAGAAGTACCTGGCTCTCTACTGATGATGTTAATTATCATGTCATAAAGCTGAAAACTTACTGGAGACATTTGTGACATTTGTGTTCTTGGAAGATACAGATGACTGAAATATCTCCAACAAGCAGCCTCACAAGATGGAAATGACATCTGATATCCTCTAGCTCAAGTCATTATAAACAGCACAAATGAAATCAAAAGTTTAGCTTCATTAGCAATTGACTTCATTACCATATTCTCAAACTAAACAGTCACCTGATTATTTTGCTAACATGCTTTCTAGGACAGCAGACTATATCCAGGAACTATATGCAGAGTAGAGTTTAGCACTAATAAGGCTTTTAAAGAATATTTACACATTTTCTCATCTTGGACAAGTATGGCTGTTTTCACATGTGGATATCCTCAGTTGAAAGCAAGCTTAGTCAAAATAGTATATGTGCCTCTGGGGCTAAAATGTTCTGTGCAAAAAAAAGAAAGCCTTGTATAGAAAAAGAAAAAAAGTTTTATTCTGTGAAAAAGACAATAGTAGTCAACCTCAAATAACTATCATTAATTTTTAATTTTTTAATATGAAAAATTACCTGTATTTCATCACATAAGAATAGTCATTGCATATTAGTCATACCCCCATTTTCGGAATGGTAAAAATAATAATATTGCTATTCCTCACATAATAGCTGCACCCTTAGTTCACAGGTGTGACTATTATGTGAAGGGTGCAGGCCAGCCAAAGCAAGCCTCATAGCTGCAGAGGGAACGGGAATGTTTTGCAAGCGAAACCTCCATAACATGGGAGAGGCATGCAGGTGGATGGGTTCACCCATCACCTGCCTCTCCTATTCGAGCTACGCTTTGAAGGTATATCCATATGGGTGGGTGAGGCTTAATCCACTTGTGCAGCTGCACATTCAAAAAGGCAGTGAATAAAGTCCCTGAAAGGGTGATGTTTTCACTATGTAAAGGGGGAAAATGTGACTATTATTTGGTGAAATATAGTATTTTTTTTTTTAAAAAAAAGTAGTATACTGTTGTCCAGAAAAAAGGAAACACCTGATATTAACACCTGACCAGAATAAGCAAAGATTTACACCCGTAGTTGTGGAATGTATGAAGCAGAAAAAAGGAATACATTCACAGATATTATTGTGCCCTGCCACTAAATTCCCACAGGATGTGCCAGAAGTACATTATCACTTGCAATGTTTGGCCTTATATCATCCCACTCAAATCCTCATACATGGTCATAAAGAGATGAAAGTTTGTGTGTTACCTAATCGGACAAATTTGTAGTAAGGTTTTGCACTGACAACTATTTCACATTCCTTCTGGAATCAGTACCACTCTGGATTAATTTGCTCTAAGATTTGTATTCATCAGTGACCAAACCTGATAGCTAGCTCAAATCGCTAGAATACACTTGGTTACATGTGGTAGACACTACAGAAGGAGGGAACTAGTATTTTTGTGTGTAGTGCCTCATCCCCGATGGTAGTGTATTCCCGGTATACTTCTGTCTGCCAGTACTTGAGACATTGATTGATTACAGATGTGAATCTGTGTTGTTTCTGCCCTTAAACATCTCAAAAATGAGAAGTAACTGCCCTTTTTTTTATCCAAGTGATAAAATGACCAGATGCACTCCCATAATCAACATGGCAGGCAGGACAGAAATTACCCCCCCCCCCAATTCCAAAAATGTTTGTGACAAGTTTGGGACTGAATGGCAAAATATATTTATTTATTTGAAATATTTATATTTAGCCTTTCTCACCCTGAAGGGGACTCATGGTGGAGCACAACATATACACAGAAAGCTGTCCATGCCAGATCATAAAATAACTAAAAATATTCACAAACACTAAAATCAGATTATATAGACTATTATATAGACTATTAAAATCGATTAATAAAATCAATTGTTTAAAACCATCTCAAAAGTATAGGTGTTCTCAAAAAAATTGCAGCTTTGGGGTTATTTTGTATGGGGCTTGGCATGAAACTGATTTTAAAGGTTATAGGCACTCCCAAACCCTTTTTTATTCAAGTTATGAAAGCATCAATGTCAATGCAGACAATGCTGGTTAAATTTCCTAGAATTGAAGTTACGTGGGTAGATTTTGCAGGTGAGGATGTGTGACTTCCAAACAGCTCAAAGTATATGACTTATTTATTTCAGAAAAAGACTGCCCTTGAGAAAGTCTCTACCTTCATAGTGACAAGGTTTTAGAAATGCTTAAAGTGGGCAGGGCGAGAGGGGTGAGCATATCATTACATTTACAATTAATAAGATTTTATTCAAGCTTTCATGGACAGAAACAGAAATAATGACTACCACACAAATCTTCACTGTGGAACTGCAAGGAATAGATGAGCATTGAGCTCATCTTAATGTATCCACCAAAGTACACTGCCTAGACATACCCAAGATATTAGAAGTAGAGAGTACAGTTTTCCATTAAAATGCATTCACTCAGAAAGGTCTGGCAAACTTGCATTAACAGTAGAGAAGGCATAGGCAAACATAGTTGGGAGTAGCTCACACAGGAGTAAATTGCCCCCTTACTCCTCTTCTACCACAGATTCAGCCAAGTGCCATCACATGATGAAGGCTGTGTCCACACCCACATTGATGGCCAAAAAATAAATCAAGTTTTGGGTAGGTCCGACAGAGCTACCCACAGTTTTGGGCCTTTCTCCCCATCTGATAGGGAAATAGCAATGCAGTCTCAGATACCTAGGGCTTTAAATATCAAAACCAGCACCTTGAATTGTCTTAAACATATGAGTAAAGAATTGTTCTACTAAAAAAAATAGTGAGAAATAAAATTCAACATTGTAGTTATCTTAGCAAACAACACGAATAGAAATCAAAGACACTGGTTTTATTATTATTTTTCTCACACCTGAATACAATACAGGAGCATAACTTGACATAGCAAATTTCTTGAAAGCATGTGGATTCACTATGTTTTAGTGGGACCAATCAATATCCTCTTCTATCTGCAGTATTAGGTTTTTGTATTTAAGTAGTGGCAGCATAAAGCTGATATGTTGCATGGGTTTAAAAAGAGATTAACATTTGCGATAAGATTAACATTCTCGATATTTACGTCATAGTAAATTCCCCTGATCATAGCAGACAAGCTTCAAATAGAGCAACTTCTAAGTTATTTTTTTTAAAAAAAATCTCAGTTCACCTGAGGAAAAGCTTGATCTTTACTTACTAAATTCTCTATATTTGAATATTTCAGATGGATTTAAAAAAACCTGAAGTCTCGAGTACTAGCGAAATATATTTTCTGACAATTTTAAGACCCTGAAAGCAGCCTTTGATTGCAAATTTCTAAGTCAGCTACATAAGTATGCGAATTACAATTGCAGATATCACCTTTAGTGAGATCTGATGAATTCTCTGGTGTAGTAGACTTTTGATCAGTTTCTAGTTCTGAATATATTTAGATCTGTAAGTCTTTAAAAATCCACTGAGGTATGACTGTGCTATGAAGTAGGTTTTCTCTACATATTCTCCCCATGTTAGGACAGATAATGGAGTATTAGGGAGGTATACTGGTTATCTACAATGTGATAAGAGGAGGAAGGGGAGGAGAGAAGTGTGTCTTCCTGTCTGAACAATTGATACTTGGCACTGTACTAGGAAGCAAGCTACAGAGAGCGAGAAAGCGCTTCATTTTCCTACATACTGATAGTGAAAAATATAGCTGCCTCCTCAGAACTTTAACTGCTCCTAATTCAAATGTGTGTATTCGGCTTGGTTGATTTAAAAAATAGTTCAGAACCCGTTTCGGATGTAGGGGGTGCTGGTGGTTCGATTCTAAAGTCACTTCTGAATTTTTCCCAAAAAAAAAGTCAGAACTTTCCAAAACTTCTCAATCACTTTGTTAATGGTGGACGTGATTGCGCAATACACAGAAAACAGCACTGGTACTGGGGAAACTCCAGGGCCTTCTCCCTCCCTCATTTTACATCAATCTTGATGAAACTTGATCTACTGCTATAACACATCCTCCTCAGTAGGCATACCAAATTTCAACATGTTAGGACATGTGAGCAAAAAAAAAAGTTTTCAGAAATGACTATGGGTAGGCTTTCTTAAACTTTTCCACCCAGGGCCACTGTTGTTCCAATAATTTTTATATGACCCTGGGTATATAGGTATATAAAATAGATATGTAAATCAAACATTTACTGATAATAAATAATAAGTCAGCCTTTGCAAGGCTTGTCAAACAAGCTGATTTTCCTTTTTGTGAAGGACAGTTGAAGCATCTTCTGCAGAGTCGACTGCAAACACTGCAAATCAGGCTTGCTAGTTGCACCCTTAACACTCAGTTAATAGACATTGGTTATTTTTCCCACCCTGGACATTCCACAGATTTATTTATTTATTTATTATTTCAGACATTTATATCCCATCCTTCTCACCTCCATAAAGAGGGGGACTCAGGGCGGCTTACAATTGGGAACCATTAGATGCCAACAACAATAATAAAAACACAGTTAAACATTAATTAAAACATCATCATAAATTTAAAAGACAATTTAAAAGAGATAAGTCCAAGTCCAGAGTCATAATTCACATAATATATACTCCACTTGCT